AAGACCTTTTCAATGCCGACGCGCGCAAAAAGTGCGTTCTTGCTGTTGAGTGGCGGGTTGCGGGCTAGGTCCAAACTGTAGGAGCTTAGTGTAGCGTGCTCTAGGTTTTGACTAATGTAGCAACCCGGTGTAGCGTGGGCTACCTTCCTCCCCCTTGAGCCCGGAGGGCAAAGACCTTTTCAATGCCGACACGCGCAAAAAGTGCGTTCTTGCTGTTGAGTGGCGGGTTGCGGGCTAGGTCCAAACTGCCAATGATGTCGGCCATTGAGACCAAAAACATCCGAAAGTACTGATTGTCGGAAAAAAAAACGCGAAGAATTTGATAGCCATGTATAGCGGACCAACGCAGTTCAAAAAATAACGAAAAACATGAAAAACGGCGAACTTGCTGTTATTTACAGATATTTACAGTGTTTTTGCGCGGTGAGAAGCAGAAACCACTGCAAATACCATTGTTTTTGAGGGTCAGGTGGCCAAAAACACTGTAATTCACAGTGTTTTTTTAACCAACGTCAAAAAACACTGGTATTTACAATGTTTTCATTCACACCGTAACATAAAACAGCGTAATTTACGAGGTTTTTGGAAGTTTTGAAGCTAGCCGTCAAGCATGCAGAAAACAGAAAAACACTGTAAAAACCAGTGTTTCTGCTATCACAAAACGACGAAAATCAGTCCGAAAACGGGTCCAAAAACTCAAAAATCCGCCTCCGGGCCCGGCCACCTGCGGAACCGCAAAAAAAAATGTTGCAAACCAACAAATTGAGGTCAAAAAGTTGCAAAACACGGGGTTTTTTCACTTTTCGCTTGCCGATTTTGGACGGGCGCGTTCACGAACAGGTGTCTTCCGTACTGTTTTTTACAGTGTATTTTGAAGGCGAGCGTCACGACCTATCAAAAACAGGAGGTTTTGGCCGAAAAATGGGACCCCCCCCCCCAGGTAAACCTGTAACCTTTTACGAGTGCCATCCGGAAGATCACGCCCCAGCACCTTCGGTGCGGGCGGATTTTTGTGAAGCTACAACATTTTCAGGGATATATATATATATATATAATGGTAGAATAGTTGATTATATATGTATATATATATATACTGTATATCAAATAGCTTGTAGTGCAGCCGAGGTTGTTGAAAGATATTCGACCCAGACACCTGAAGCTGCACAGATTGTTCCTTACTTGCCCGTGCCATCCCCCGCCTTGTATGTCTTCGGGCAAGCTCAAGCTGCTAGTCGTGGAGACTGGTTTGTAACATCAGAACTCCGAAGAATCAATGGCTGTTCAAAACAGAAGGCATGGCTGGGTCTTCCCCCAAAGCAGGAAACTTCGACCCAGAACCTTTTGCAAAATGATCAAAATGTCCCAGGCAAACAGCCATAAACAGCCCCAAGTCCCGTGCACTGTCCATGGAGCCATGGCTGGGAAGCGGCTGGTATCTTGGGCCTGAAGATGGGCGAAATCCGGGACCTGGGGGATGAATGGGGATGACAGATCTTGATTATTGCATCTTATTGCATCTACTGTAATTGCTAGAAATGGCTATAATTATATAATTGTTGCTTCAATTGGTGTTCTTCCTGGTTTGCCCTGGAAAATTATGCGCCATTCCTGCTTGCCGTTTCTGTATAGGTTTGTTTGAAGCCACCTGATTCAATGTCACACAAACCTTCTGTCAGAGTGTCTGCAGAGACATTTGCGGTGAGACCAATCCTAAAGCCCAATCGCAACGCCCACAACAAAACATGAGACCCAGCTGCGACTTGGAATATTGGTAGATGTATCTTATGATTTCATATGATATAATATGTAAACACATTTCCACATCAATGTATTTATACAATTTGTATGTATAATCATATATATATGTATATATATATATTTACACATAATGGTATATACAGTATATACATATATAATTAATTTGGTATACGATAGACTACAATCGTTGGTTATTTTGTTGCTGACAGATGGTAACATTTTCTGGCAGGTCATGGGAGCCTCACCGGGCACAGGACTCTTTGTGCGGTGACCAAGAGATAGCTTTTTCAGGTCACTTTTCCGAGGAAACCATGGGAAAACCCATGGGTTTTCCATGGTTCTCAATGTTTTTATAACCAAGGGCAGCAAATTTGTTCAGGGTCAAAGTATGGATATGGATCAACAGCCATAAAGAATATCAGAATGGGAGAGGAATGTGCGTTTCAAAGCTATTTTGACACCAGGGCTACAGGGTTTTGACCCATCCGCATATGTCAAACTGCTTTGGGAGGAACATGAATGAGACTGTATAATTCAGCCGCCGTTGCGATTTTGCGTTGGAAAGCCATGACTCGAGAATATGGATCCTCAGCAATGGTTTGGGCACGAAATGCTGTACTACAGATGACAAATATGTACAAATACCATCAAACATGTACGAAATGGTGAGTTGAAGTATATAATTATTGTTTGACCCCATATCCATATATCCAAATGACCATTGGATACCACAACTTTGAATACAGGGATACCAATATTCTCCAACACATTACTGGCATACCCTCCTGTAAAGTAACATAGATGTGGAAACCCAGATCATTTTCCTACGTATGTTTCCGCATGGGCTTTCCACATCTATGTTAGCGTATCCTAGGGCACCATAGCACAAGTCCAGGTGCACGAACCTCGACAAAGCAAGAGTCGGTGAGACCGGGGGGGTGCTAGTGCTGGGAAACCCAACGGTGATTTAACCTAGAAAAGCATAGAAAAACAGGGCAATCAACCAGATTAAAAAATGGTGATTAAACCTGGTTTGACCATATTTACCTCACAATCCTGGAGGTTTCAAGTTTCGAGCCATGCTTTTCATGGATTTTCTGTATGAATGTTGGGATGAACATCCATGTCCAAAGTATTTTGATGTGAACAGCATGGTACCAGGGCTTTGATCCATACCATGTTCAGGGGGAGAACTGGGATGCCTAGGTTTCAAGTCCTGGAAGCGTGGGGTCATTTGCGGAGCGGGAGGTACTCGAAAGAGCCGGCAAAAGAGGAGGCTTCAGCCCACAAATCCATGGCCGAACAGGAGGAGGCCATGAAGAACTTGACAATTGTTTAATGCTTTTGGACTCGAGAACAGTCTGGAGCAGAATGTTTGAGCCCACTTTTAGGAGAATGAAACCGGACGCGAAACAACTTCTGCAGCAATTTGACGTAAGGACAACTGGAGCCCCATTCATCCTGTTGGATAACCTGCAGGAGAAGATCAACGGACGACTTGTGGAGATTTTGGAGTGCCCTGGGCAGGTTTCAGATTTTTTATTGGCCTGGCCATAGAGGCTGTGGAGCAATCTGTCCACCATAGGATATTTAGCACATGTTAGACGCAAACAAAGAGTTTTGTTGCTGTCACTGCTCACTTATGCTTCTTGTCCATGAGGTGTGTTTCTGTCGCACAGAATTTCTGGAAATAGGTCGCTTGTCCACAATCCAGGCGAAAATGTGCTAAGCTCAGAAGTCGAGCAGAGCAAGAGGAGAATTGCAGTGATACAGTCTGGGCGTGCTGTAATTTACATCAATGTTTTCAACTTTGCGTAGCCAATTGCAATGCCATCCATATGTCCTCTTGAACACCATTTGGGTTGATAGATTCCGTCAGATACATGCAGATCACTTGTATAATTTCTTGCCTGAATCGCCCCGTGCCTGGCGGTGTTTTCCTTCTTTTCTAGCACTTACTTGGCCAAAATTTTTGGACATTGCTTCACAGCTCAGAGATGGTCAGAGTATTTGGCAATTTGGGGTGTACCCGTCAATTTGATGATTCATTATAAACAAATCACTGTATTTTCCAAACAAAAACACATTTGAGGCTACGAGGGTACACATTTTCAAAGAAACCAATTTTTGACCATCATCGTGATGTCAGCTGGCGGGCGAGGAGAAGAGTCGCAAAGCAATGCAACAGGAGCTGGAGGACTGAAACATGCCCAATTGGGGCAGAGATTTTGTTTCCATGGAGAATTATCCCCAATTGATGACCATCTGGCTGCGGAAAATGGTGTTCAAAATCATGGGATGAGTCACCATTGTGATGGAAGTAACTGGTAAGTTCTTGAAGAAACGGGTAAAACCATGGTAAACCACCAGAAAAACACAGGGTTACACTTCACAATGAAACCATGGTACTAACCGTAAAGCAGTTGTGGACCGTTGCCAACTGTACACCATGGGTAAATCCCCCCAAACATCCTTGGCCAATGGATTTTAAACAGCCCCCATTGGCTGCCAGGAGCTACGACCTCAGTTTGAGGAGCTTCAACAAGAGGTCGCAAAGCCAAGCTCAACGGATGCCGACGTGTTGACAGACACGTCAACCCCAAGGGCTGGATTTGTTGAGATTGTGAGAAGCTCTTCTCAATCCATGTCGCGCCAGAGGGATTTGTTGTGGTTTGTCAATTTTTTTCCCCACCAGCTCTAGCCCGTCCTAGCGTTTTGCATTTAGACCCAGGTCACCCAGCTTCGGGCTGCACATGAGAAGCTAGCGGAGGACGAGTATATTGTGGCCATTGCTTGAAAGCTGGATGAAATCTGAACAAGTCACAGGTGAAGCAGTGATAGTGGATGTGTTTCACAATATAGTCATCTTTAAAAGATTGGTCACTTGAAAGGGAGGCCTTGGAGACATTACATTGCACCCTTCCTTTCAATGGGAAAAAGCCTGCCTGGATCGCTCTCAAGGACCGGCACGAAGCGCTTCGGCGCAACGGTGAGTTGGCCAACATACAGCAGCAATGTGGGATGACTCAGGTAATTTATGGTAATTTGCTTCTCACGTCACACGGGCTTTTTCCATTAGCAGATCTCAGCATCTACATTGTATCTGAATGTATCTGAGTAACAGTACCCGCAGTCTGTTCTCCACAGCTTCACGGGGTGGGCCCCTTCCGCAGGCTTTTGGGTCAGGGACCAGGGCCTTGTAGACACGATGAAAATCCTCCCTGTGCAGATGGGATTTGTCGATGTCTGTCAGCCTGGCGCTGTGGACAAGGCGGACCACGTGGTTGTGGCAACGTCCTTCACCGGCTTAGCAGGGCTGATCCAAAAAACATCAAAAAACCACATCGGAAACATGGTTCTTACTGAAAGTGGGGTATTGTACCGCCTATTCCACTGGATTATTACTTGATCATCACCATTTTCAACCGTTCAATTGGCAGTTTTGGATAGATTTTGGAGTATACTATGTAGCTATCAGATATCTAAATCTGCTCGCACCGAAGGTGCCGAGGCGTGGTAGTTTAGCAGTGGATGCGACCGGACAGATCTGTCAGACTGGTACAGCTTCAACTTCAGCTGGGGGGGGCCTCATTTTCGACAGAGCAGGGCGCAAAAAAGTGCAAGGGACTGTGGTAATTTGCACATTTTGCAGATCGGCACAAAATCGTCCAAATGCACCGTTTCGATCCGACATGGCCGCAACATTGGCCCAACTTGGGGTCAACTTTGGCGAGCAAGGCCCCAACCTCGGCCCAACTTGCACCCACTTGACTCAAACTTCGCCCCAGCTTGGCTCCAAGATGGCGCAACTTCAACTTGGACCCGGAGCAACTTCGGCCCAAGCTGAGGTCCATATGGCCAAGGACGGCCAGGTTTGACCCCAGTCGGCTTTGGTTGGCAAGCACGCCCGCTCCTTTCCTCTCTATCCAATTCTCTGGGTGCGGGCGGCTCTCGTCGTGAAGCGACTTGAATAAACGAATTATATTATGCACATATACACTACACACTACATCACATGTATACAGTAATAGTATATATATAATATATATAATAATATATATATACCCAATCCTTCTAAAGACCCGGTTAAACTAAGCCCTGCATGAAGGACACGATGAAACCACGACGCATGCATATACAAAAATACAGCATATGATGTTGCTATCATCAAAGTCCCAATCTCCTGCAAACTCTGCAAAGAAGCGCACAAAAGCACATGCGTTTTTTCTCATCTGCGTGCTTTCCAACGGTTTTCTCGATTCAACTGCCTGGTCTTCCATTTCAACATGCCAAGCCTTAAATTTGCTGCACGCAGCAGCCCTTTCTCAAGATTCCTCCTTGGCGATTTCCTTGCGATCAGTTTTGACCACTTCATCGCATCTTCATCGGCAAAAGCATGAAAGAATCTTCCATTTGCTCCTTGGTCTCAACTGCATATGCTGACGCATAAATTCTGAATGACAACTGGTCCACAATTCACAGTTTTCTTGCCAAAAGTAGCTCCGACTAGGTCTAAGTTAATCAGAGGTTCTGAACCTGCGTGTTTCTCGAAGAAGGTGATGAAAGGCCTCAATCTAAAAAAAAATGGGCATCCAATGCATTGCTTGAATCTAGACAATGGCCAATCAAAGGATTGTTTGTTTTTGGTCATGTGCTGCGTTTCGATTCCTTAGGGACCCCACATGTATTTTTGGCTTGGCCAGCCATTGCAGGACATTCTTCCTGCGCAAGTGCATATGCCATCCACACATTGGCCTGCTTAAAATTCATTGAGCACATACATGTGTAGATATATACACATGCAGACGACATGATCAGCTCCCAACTCCTTGCGCTGATTCTTGTGAGAACAATGTGCTGTCTCAAGAAGGTCATCCCAGAGTCATAAATATTTTCGGCCTGTTCCACTGTCCTTGGATTCATATCTATGCGTGTTAGATGTTTGGTTAACATTTCACATTTATGCCCAATGGTAATCAAATGCTTGTTGAATGTATGAAGCCAAGTAGCAAAAACCGAGGTGCCCGTTCTGTAAGCCCAAAGTAGCGAGAAATGGAATTCCTCATCTGGTTGTCAAAACATTTCAAACAAATTGAAACGATATTGAACCCCAAGTTCACATTATAGTGAATAAGGTTGGAGGACAAGGTCTGGTTTACCAAAGATGTTGAAATTTGACTGTCATTTTCAATCCCGCATACCATGGGAAATCCAAAACTGGAACAGTGTGCCAGAATCGGAAAAACAATTTTTCTTGAACCAGTCAAAATTCATTGCCAACTTCTGGTGCAGCAAACACTCATCCTGAACCACATGGCCATTGGCCTGAAGCCACCGACCAAGAAGACGTCGTGAATCAGCAGCTGGATACACATTGCCATACACAGCATCTGTGCAGTCTGACAACCAGTGACACAATATCCTTCCATTCCATGCTTTGGCAGTCATATAGGCACCATGATGGCGTTTGAAGACCTTGGCTATGATATGATATGTTCTGCAAAGGGCATTTCACCTTGGAATCTAACCACAAAAACACATACAAAACTTTACGCACCATTGTTCAATTTTTGTTCGATGAAAGGAATGCAAAATGCATGAAATTCCACTACAAACCAAATTTCTTTTGACAGTGGTTCTCAAAACAAGATTTACATTTGCACGCATCACAGGACCACTTTCATCCCTAGGAATCCTTTCCAAAAAAAATCCTGTTTACAGTTTATAGGAAAATTGCATGTCATCAACTGCCAAGACACAAGCCCAGATGTGAACCGGCTCTGGCCAGGATGAACCTTGTTCTCTCTGCACCATGCATGGTAGTCTTCCCATGCTTCCGACAGCAAGGTCTTCATATCCAAAGAAGGGTCTCCGAAGCAACCCAGTTCAACCAATGTGCTCCTGGGCAACATGTCTGAGGTTCGAACATATTTTCAGGTCAAACAAAACTATGTGTTTGAAGATCAAAGGAGTTGTTGTTAGCAACATGCCACCAGGAAACAGGCTGGAGCCATTTGCAGTGTAGAGCAAACCCAGATTGACGCAATGCATTGAACACACTTTGATGCAGAAGATGTCGAAAAACTTCAATGCAAGCAAGGGACCTCATTCAAGGTGCTATTCTCATGTGTTTTGTGGTTCATTGTTCTGAAAAAAAAACATCCCACAACCACAAAGGGAAAAAAACAAAACATAAATAAACATAATGACTATAACATACTCGTACAATAATTTCATAACACTGTGCCAAGCAAATTCCATGAATCATGGGATGTCAGGAAGCTCCTCATTGATGAATGACACAGTGTCATATTCCGTGGTGGCCCATTCAGGATCATCTTGCAAATCCGTGTAGAGACAAGCATCTCCAGTCGACTTCGCACCACATTTGCAGCATACATTGGTACCCAACCAGTGAGCTGTATGCTGCCAAATCTTTCGATGAAATTCTTGATCTCCACGAAATTCTGCAACAATGAATCGCTCCCCATTGGCAAACAAGTTCGGAGACTCATACGCCAGATTCAGCGATTCAGTAATTTTCAGCAGAACCGGTCTCAAAGTCTTGGGTCCTTCTACCCAATCTGACCGAATCGAGAAAACCAAGTACCTGCTCAGCCGAATGTTGGCAGGCCTGTAGTGAATCACGTTCATGAAAATACAAAGTACCTTGAAAGGGTCGAACACATTCTCAGAGATGTTGGCTTCGTCCCCATAGAGCCCAACCCTGAGTCCAATGTGCTGATACGAAAAAAAACACTTGATATCGTATACCCATTATCCCAGCATGGAAGGATAGGGAGCATTAGAATTCCAGAATTCGTTGTGTTGTAAATATATTATATGTTAAAAACAACGAATTCTAGAATTCTAGTGCTTAGTCATTTCCAAAAAAATAGGATTGAAATTGTTTGAACTTACCAAGCATATGCATCCAAGTCTCGGTATTAATGTATCATCATTGACACGAGTGGCCCATGAATTTCCAACAGATTTCAAGTGAGACCAATACTCTTGGATCCAGGCCCTGGGGATTGTCAATCCAACCTTGACCAAATGTTGAAGAATTTGATGTGGAAGAAACATCGGCATGACCTTGTTGATTGTTGACCCGTCCCCCTTCGGTGAAAGCACTTCGCACTCGACTCCGATGGATTCCTCCAGGGTTGGATGCATATGTGTCAGCACTGGATGAAGACCTATGATGGCCTCGAAATTAATTGTTTAATCGAGGGTTGCAACTATATGCATGATGGTTTTCCATATGCAGTTAACATGCAGCTGGGCAACTATGTTAGTAATTAAGTATAGGTGAAAATTTCAATATAATATGCAGTTCACCCCCGAAAACATGTTGATCGATACTACACAGTGAATGATCGTATTTGATGGTATACATTGACTGACCATGTATGTGCGTTGTCAACTTGTGTGTGCATGATAAGGTTTCAAAAAAGTAACAGCTGTCGAGCCTAACCCTATCTTATCATATCTTATTATCGTACTTTGACTTGAGAAGTGGCCCCATGTTCATGTGCACTAAACTAATATAGCTACACAATGTACTTATGCAGGGAAAGGCTTGACACAATGTTACCAACGGACCAACAGAAAACCATGCGGTGTCCAGTGGTGGCTTGACATTGCGGAAGAAGTCGCGAGCAGAATTCCATTTGGAATAGGTTCCCAGCCGGGCAGACACAGATTTCAATCCAATGCCGCCTGTCTCCTGCCAGCGATCTCTAGCAACTCAGCAGTTTCATCCAATGACATCCCATGGCCTAAATTCGTTAAAGCGAGCAGCCACGTCATGGCATTCTTTAAGCTGGGAAAAACAATATCGTTATCGTTTCAGATTTATATGCAGCCCTTGACATCTTCACTTAGGGCAGAGTATGCAGTCATACATTCACCTTCTAACACAGACATTTGTTTTGACTATCGGAGACATGGAGCCATGTCCTGCCTCCATCTGGTTCGAGAAAGTTTTCATCACTGAAGCGATGGATGATGCCTCTTGGCGGAATGATGCAGGAACATGGGGTATTAAGGTTCATGCAAAACATAGTTTCATGAAGGGTTTTCAGCAACACTGATAAATGAGGAAAGAAATGATTCAAGAACATGATAATTCATGTGACTTTGTTTTTTTAATCATGCTTTCTGATGGATGACGTTGAATAATTGCAGGTGACATTTGTCGACAAAAACATATGTATATTTGACAATGTGCAACCACCACACAAACACAATGGATCATGCTAGCTGACT